GTATGGAATGTATTTATTTATACCAAAATAAATTAATAATATGTTTAATAATAATATTTGCATAAGTTTTTATATATTTAATGAATAATTTTTTTTCTTGCTGTGTTTTATCTGTTTTGTATAAAAGTTTAATTCTAAAATTTAATTTTCAATAAACTTTAATAGGTTTATTAACTTTTTTACTCTACAAAGTCTTAAATTATTTGTATTAAAAGCCATATATATATATATATATATATATATATATATATATATATATATATATATATATATATATATATATATATATATATATATATATATATATATATATATATATATATATATACATACATACTCATACATACATATGTGTATATATATATATATATATATATATATATATATATATATATATATATATATATATATATATATATATATACACTAGAGTGCTATTAGACACTTTTTCTACTTTAACATTTTTTTCTCTGACCTAAAACAGCAATTTTATATATTTCGAGTGCGTATAATAGAGCATCTGTTATAATATATATATATATATATATATATATATATATATATATATATATATATATATATATATATATATATATATATATATTTATATATATACACATATATATATATATATATATATATATATATATATATATATATATATATATATATATGTGTGTGTATATATATGCAATATATATACATTTTAAAACAAGGCCTGTATATATGTGTGTATATATATTTAAAAATGGGATATAAGGTGAAAGTGACACTGGGATATATCTTTTATCTTAATGGGAAGTTTTTCAAGTGTTACTTTTCCGATATTTCAAAAATTGCAATCTTTTCTTTTTTTCTCTTTGTTATAAAATGCGAGTAAAAAAAAATATTTTCCTTTTCTTGATTTTAAACAATGAAAGCTATATGTTTTGATTGGTTTTTAATATAATTTTAAACAATTTAAAAATTAATCTTTTTGCTGTATTAAAATTACTGTAACTAAGTATATATAAATTCATGTTATATAGGAGTTATTTCTAATTATGTAGGTTTTTGGTGGTCATGTATTGTATCTTATTAATTATTTAGTTATTTTTTTATGATTCATATTAGTTATATTATGTCAATAGTAAGTGGATCAAAAGCAATATTTTTGTAAAGAAAATCTTGAGATTTTCTGCAATCTTAAAAAAAAAAAAAAATGCAATCTAAAAATTATGCGTTTTAAAGCATTTTTAAGAAATAGGCTCATTTTAAAATGCACCTAAAGAATTGGTTTTTGATAAGAAACCTTCACATAAAGGCACTGGATTGGAAATTATAAATGTTCAAAAAGAAATTACAGTGTTTGTAAAACTGCAAGCTATAAAGGATTTTTTCCACTTAAAAAATACTGATTAAAGTTTTGGTGATTATGACAGTAATATTACATCTACCGGGTTTGATAAAATATAACCGGGGCCGGGTTTGTGACCATGGCTGCATAAACATATATACATACTAAAGTATTTTTTTTAAATTTAAAATTTATGTTATATTTTGTATATATATGCATATATAAACATAAGTATGATCAAAATGATCATCATAATCATCATCACCATCATCATGATCATTAGTATCATCATCAACAGCATAAAAGAGAAAAGCTTGACGATGATAATGACAATTATGATGATGATGATCATTTTGATCATAATTATGTTTATATATGCATATATATACATAATATAACATCAATTTTGAATTAAAAAAAATACTTAAGGATGTATAAATGTTTATGCAGCCCTGGTCACAAACCCGGCCCCGGCCCCAGATGATGATCATGATCATTATCATCATAATCATAATCATTGTCATCATCATCATCATCATCATCATCATCATCATCATCATCATCATCATCATCATCATCATCATCATCATCATCATCATCATCATCATCATCATAAGGCTTTAGCCTTCCTCTTTTAAGCTGTTTCTCTAATATAAACAATATAGAGCATTTTTATTCCTAACTAAAGCTCATTCATATGTAAGGCACTCTCTTCAAACTTTCTTACTTCTACTACAACCATTTTCTACTGAAGCTGCTACCACTCTACGTGTTGATACCTAAATTACTTTAACCTTTTCTAGCAAACATTGTTTAATACCACATTTTTTCTAATCTGTCTAAGATTATGCCTCCTTTTCTTGTCTTGCTAGAGCCACACCACACATTCATCTGATCATCTTTTCTTTCGGCAAATACTACACTATATAAATACTAAAGTTTATATAACAATGAAAGGATATTGTATGCCAGCATCTAAATAAATAGCAAACAGATATGTTTATATATGTGTCTTGGACATATCTTGGAAGCTTTTATTGCTTCTGGAATAAAAGTTTGGAAGCTTTCATTACTTCTCTTCAGTTGTAAGTCAAGCCTCATTCTACTTCACATCTCTTCCACATTTCAACATTAATCATTTTTTTTCATCTTTTTTACAGGAACATCTCTCTTAAGAACAAATATCCTCTTATTATTGCAAGAAGCTAATGTAAGAACGTCCTGTCTGATGTTAAGCTCTGTTATTCTCAGTTGACTAAATCTTGTATCTTATCTCAGATGTTAGGTTCTAGAGACTTTAGGTTAGTTTTCAACAGTGTCATTAACTAAAGTAAGTCTAGCGTTTAATTTCTAATTCATGGGTCTGATTGTTTTACTTTTTCCCAGAATAAAGCAGAGCTATTTGTAAAGAAATCTTACTCTAACCTGACTCTTGAATATAAAGGCCATACTCTTCCTGACAATTGAACAGATTAACCCTCCAATACTAAAATTAATTCTCAATTAAACACTTCTGCAGTTTGTGCTTCAGACAAGATTTCCATCATAGTCTTAAAAAAGTGCTCTCCAGAACTCTCTTTAATTTTTGCTAAATATATTAAAAGTGCTAAATAAGTAATTCCAATTTTTCAAAACTCTAGAAAACACTTTGGTCTCTCCCAGTATCCTAAAGTACTCTTCACTCTATTTTTAGTTTTTTATAAGTTTCTATGTAAAGGTTTTGAGGTTATTAAATTATTTCTTTCTAACTATAGAAGTAAAGTTATTCTTGAAGGCCTACCCTCTTATTTATTTCAAGTAACTTTAAGGGTAGCACAAGGATCTATATTTGCTCCTGTATTATTTCTTATCTACAATAACGATCTCAATGAAATCTAGTGGCTCTATTTGCTGGTGACTCAATTTTATTCTCTTGTCTTCAAAATCTTCACTTTTTAATTGCTTAGAACAAGTAGCCAATTTTAAATCTGATCTCTGTTCTGTAACAGCCTAAGGCTTGCAGTGGCTTATGGATTTAAATTTTGGACTTTTTTTGGACAATTTTTGTTAGACAACAAAACTCATTTATTTAGTGCAAAAAAATATTGCAATATTGTTGGCATTTCTATATTGACTATTAACAACCCTCTTACTCTCAGACAAAGTCTAAAAGCACATTGTAAATTTTATTAGACCTGCTTTATCTGCTAAGCTTGAGCCACTCTCCCATTGCTATAAGGTTGCATTTCTTTCTTTTTTCTACAAATACAATCATGGTCAATGCTCAAACGAGCTATCATCTCTATAACAATAAACCAACACTCATTATCGCTTGCTATTTATTCAACAAGTTGCATCCTTTTACTGTATTTGTCCCTTCATGCTATAAAATCAGTTTCCACCATGATAATTAATCCATTTTTTTTCCTTGAACATTAAAAAAACCTTATCACTTTTAACTATTTCCCAACTTCATGTTTTCCTTTTTTATACAACTTACAACTTTTTATGTCTTTAATTATATGTTTCCTAGTATTTTACCTGATTCTGTATTTTAAAGTAACTCATTACTTAATAGTGGTTGCTTGCAATCTTGTTGGAAGTAAATTAGAGTTTAAAAATATATAAATGTATGCCAGTATTCAATAGATAGTAAATTTTTTTCTAGCCTGGATATCAACCCCTGCTAAATCTTATGATTTTTCCAGGAGCAGGGCTGGGTTTGCAAAAAGTTTCATTTTTAGCCTAGGTTGGGGCCCCGGCCACTTACTAAATGATTGTTGTGTTCATTTGATGATATACAAAATAGAAAGAAACTAGAAAGTTTATGTGTGCTTCAATGATGAATTTCTGGAAAATTCCTAGATATTACAATGACAGGCTGGAAATATCAAACTTCAAAATTTGCAAAAATGTGAAACACTAGTACCCACTTATATTGGCATAATTTTTTATTGTATATATTATTGTTATTTATTTATAATATATGTTACATGAAAAAGATAAGTAAGCTAGCTTGTATATCTGTAATAATACAACTACAGACAATTATGCCCTATGGTAGTTGTATTAGTTATTAGTCTTGTTTTAATTAACAACTGTTAATAGTAGAGTTATTGACAACCTCATCAGGCATTGCATTCCAAGTATTTGCAATCTGATTGTTAAAAAATTTAAATCAAACTAGGCAGTTACTATTAGTTTTATGATAAAATTGTTTGAGATAATTTTCGAAATGTATAATGGGTCAACATACCAACTAATTGAGACAGTTTTGCTTGAAATTTGAATTTGAATTAAATCCCTATTTATTTATTTCACTCAGTGAAGTTAGACCACATCTTAGCAGATCTTGTGTTGCAGTCATAGAACTTCAATTATTGGAGCATTATTGTAATACAGTTGTCACATCTGTGGTGCTTTCTGATTAGACTATTAGGTCTATTTGGAGCACTTTAATTACTAAAAACAAAAATAACAAAAACAATGTGTGTGTTAAATTGTATTAAAACTAGTTTTAAGATGAGAAAACCAGGTGATGATCAGGATTTGTATTTGGTAATATTAGGCTATATCATTGTATTTGTATTTGATTGAAATGTTTTTGTTTGTTTCATAAACCAGGTTAACAAAGCATTTTTTTGAGTATAATTTTATTTTTTTAACTAGCACTTTTTTGAATATA